ACCGTGTTGAGTTTTGTTTCCTCAGTTTTTGATCCAATAGGACTGGTAGCTCCATATACTGTGAAAGCGCGCCTTTTACTAAAAGACATATGGAGAATCAGTGGTCAAAAGTGGGATGATGATCTCCCAGAGGAAATTAAACAACAATTTCTAGATTGGCACTCAGGACTTCCACTATTAGGTACTCTGACGATACCTCGTAGCTATTTTACCGAACCGTTCGACCGCTGTGAACTTCACACGTTCAGTGATAGTTCGCAGGACGTTTTTTGCGCCGTATCGTTTCTCCGAGCCCGACTTGCTAAATCGCAAAAGACCGAGTTAGCTTTTGTATTTGGGAAAGCCCGTGTAGCGCCTATGAAGATGCTCTCCATTCCCAAGTTAGAGCTTCAGGCTGCTCTGCTTGCGACTCGACTCAAAGAAGAGATTTTGAAAGCGCTTACTTTCAAAGTAAGCAATGTATTCATGTGGACTGATTCTACCACCGTTCTCCAGTGGCTTAACTCGTGCAACAAACTTCCTGTGTTTGTTGGAGACCGCACTGGTGAAATCTTGGAGTCCACCACCATTGATCAATGGAATCATGTACTCAGTGGTGATAACCCAGCTGATACCGGCACACGAGGGATTTCTTCGGAAGCCCTCAAGGATAGCAGCTGGGTTAGAGGCCCTAGTATATTGAGGACATGTGATTGGCCATTCAAGCCGAACACTGATGTCATCAAAAAGATCCAATTAAAAGGCCCACTCTGTGACATTGATACATGCCTTGAGACTGCATCTACGTTTGTTGTTGATGCTTCATCTGAGAAAGCGCCGTCGATCCGTCTGTTTAAAAATTGGGATAAATTTAGCTCAATTGTAAAGTACAAACGTGTTTTAGCGTTTATGCTTCGTGTGCTACCATCGCATAAACACTTCCGTACAAAAACGCTTGAAATAACCGACCCGTCCGAGTTAGATATTGCCGAGCAGAAGCTCATTTATCTCGCTCAGTCCGAATCATTTCCTGCCGAAGTGAAAATACTTCAGTCCGATAAACTGATAACAAAGAAAAGTCGGATTGCTAAATATTCTCCGTTCATCGGCCCAGCTGGCATCCTGCGTTCAACTGGACGTATCAGCCGTCTTGTTGATACCGACTTTGATAGCAAGCATCCAATAATACTGGATGGTCGACACCGAGTTGCTCATATGTTGATTAGGCATATGCACTTTCAACATGCACATCAGGGGTTGGATTACATGCGTGCTGTAGTTCAGTTGAAATACATTGTTCTGAAGTTGCGCCGGTTACTTGGGAACATCGAAAATACTTGCATAACATGCCGTAAGCGCAAAGCAAAAACAGTTGTGCCCATTATGTCTGACCTACCGATTGAAAGACTGGGTTACAAGCAGCCTCCCTTCTCCAACACAGGTGTTGATTACTTTGGCCCGTTTCAAGTGCCAATACGCCGAAGTACCGAAAAGAGATGGGGTTTCCTATTTACCTGCCTCACGACTCGAGCAGTTCACATCGAGTTGGTTCCATCTCTCGATACTAGTTCCTGCGTCATGGGCGTAGAGCGATTTATTGCAACGCGAGGTACCCCCAAAACCATTCTTTCTGACAATGGCACGAATTTTGTTGGTGCTCAAAAGGAGCTCCAATCCTGTGTCCAAAATTGGAACAAAGTCGCCCCGGCCGTTTTCGTCCACAAAGGCATTAAGTGGAAGTTTAACCCGCCCAGTGCCCCTCATCACGGTGGCGCCTGGGAGCGGCTAGTGAGAAGTGTTAAGCGAGTGTTGTACGACATATTAGGCAACAGGAGATTAACTGAGGAAGTTCTAGGAACAACGCTCTGCCTAGTTGAACAATTACTTAACGCAAGACCGATCACTCCGGTCAGTTCCGATCCGCACGACCTAGAGGCACTCACCCCGAATCACTTCATTCTCGGTCACAGCGCAGCTAGCTTCCCGTCGTTAAGTTTCGAAGATAACTTTGATTATAAAAAGCGTTACGCCAGAGCACAATCGTACGCTAACGCAGTTTGGTCACGCTGGCTGCGTGAATATGTACCATCTCTCAACAAGAGAGCAAAGTGGCATAATGATTCGGATGTCACACTGAAAACCGGCGACTTGGTTTGGGTAGTCGAACCCGACAGCCCACGTGGGCATTACCCACTCGCCCGTATTGCTAAACTACACTACGGCAAAGACGGATGCGCCCGATCCGCCGACATAAAGACCGTTACGAGCGAACTGACCCGACCGACCGTAAAACTCGCACCTGTTCTTCCGTCTTTAGGGGCGGAGGATGTTGCAGCGCAAATATAAAACAATAGTACAAATGCATATAAACGTAAATGTGCGAAAGTATAAATGCATATAAATGTAAATGCATACAGGGACAGTAGCCAAGCGTATACATGGTGCGTCCCGGCGGGTTCGGCGCCGGTTCGAATCCCGACTAGGTCATTTCCTTTCTAGAACTCGAATGTGCACCGAACCTGATGGGATGCCCCCTAACCAGGTTCGGTCCCCCCAAAACCGATTTTAACCGTCTTTTCGCTCTAATTTGGTTCAGCCTTGATTAAGGCTGACCTTTAAAAAGAGCAATTTGTCTCAAGGACAAATACTGGCCATTTTTGCAGCTTGCTTTGATTTATGCAGTTTTTTTTGTGTCCGATGTTACCGATAACAATAAAAAAGTTTGTTAAAAATATCATTATATTACGAAATTTCCAGAGTTATTTTCCCGATAAAATACTCGTTAATTCAAGTGTTTAAAAACCGTTTTTTTTTATAATCTTGGAGATTGACGCGCACACGTTTAAAAAGTTTTCGATTCCTTCAAAAAAGTCGAAACTTCACAAAAATTCAAAGCAGACAAGACGAATTGAAAACATGCGTTGATGATAAACTAAAGGCAAAATGGAAAAAATCTTGTTAAAATGAGTAGTCAAGCGTTGAAAAGGCTTAAAAACTTTAAAATTTTATAAAATTTTTCTAGTTAAATGGTTTTATGTTTGATTTGTGATTTTTTAAAATATAATTCATGCACTCCCCCTCCCAAAAAAATCCATTCTTAAATTAAAATTGTTTTCTGTTGGATTTTTGATTTTTTAAAATATAATTCATTCCTAAAGGCCAGCGCAAAGAAAAATTCAAACGTTTTCGCAAAAGTTTTCGCGAAACTGTATTTGTATATTATGAGAAAAATTAATTTTTTTTATGAAAGCTATTTCCTTGAATACGGACGGCGATTGTCTTTTTTTTGATAAAAAATTTCTAGTTATAAAAAGAGACGGTCTTTTCATTTTTTGACATAAATTTCTCAGATACGAACGGCGATTGTTTTTTAGTTCTTTGATAAAAATTTTCTAGTTAAAACTTTTTTCCGAAGTGAGAATGCACTGGAAAAAAACCCAGCGCATCTTGAGAAGTTGATCATATATCGCAAGCAGATGAACGAGGCATTTTGAAGTAGCGAATACCTTATATATGAGCCGAGACCACTTAAGAGAGAGCAACCAAAATAAAATTGAAAGTTTGGCTTCCTATCTCGATTCTGATTGGTTAATATAGCGTTTGTCTACTTGCTGTGAGGGAGGCGGATATTCTCATGGAGGGACCCACTGATGAAAAAATTTCGACCAATGGAAATCAGCAGACGTTATTATCCGCTGATAGATTTTTGCAGTGAACGGAAGTCAAAGTTAGCGTAATAAAATATAGCGTGCACAGTCCGTGCAGACACAAAAAAGTTAATGTTTTTTTTTCAAATTTTGTTAAATCGTGTAAGCGAAAGATTTTTTCTAATATTTCTTTGATCTGACAATGTTTAAATATTCATTGATCTGCAGTCTGCGACTTCTGTAATCGGTCACGATTTTTCGCGATTTTTGAATGGTCAAATTCTGATTGGCTGAAAAAAACTGAAAAAATAGTCCAACGTTCGGTCCTTTTATCATGAGGGACGCCCGCTCCTGGATTTATTTATACGCGTCCCCCTCCCCTTTTTCTTAATCAAAATTTTCCAAAAAGTGCCGAAAAAGCGGCGCAGAAATTTCGGCCAAAACAGGGTCTTTTTAGTGCTTTAGGAAAGCTCGGAAAATCAATTTGGTCGACCTAAAAAAGAAGGTCGAGAAAACTTTCGAAATTTGTTTGAAAACCCGCCCCCCCCCCCTCGAGAAAATCCTAGATCCGCCCCTGTTCAGTGCTATCATTTTTTTTAAATATTAAGTTCTATATGAAGACAAAGTGTGTTTTAAGAGGCTAAATAACTTATATATAAATTTCCACGGCAAATGAACTAGGTGAACAAAAGTTATTACTTCTTATAAGCAGGGGCGGATTTAGGGAGGAGGCGGGGGAGGGCGGACGCCCCTCCTCAAGGATTCGACACCCTGCCGACCCAAAGGGTCCCCCCTTGGGTACTTTTTAAGAAATCCACTTTTGGCCGACCGACCCTAAAATTTTTCTAAAGGCGCCTTTGGCGCCAATATTTACTAATTTCGAGGGGGGAGCGCGCGCCAAAAAAACGCAATTTTTTGGTCAAAATTTTCCATAAAGTGCCTAAAAACGCCTTTTTTGACTGTTTTTTCAAAAATTTGCCTGCGGCGCCAAGAATTTTCCCAAAATAGGGGCAAACAGTGCTTTGGGAGAGCTCAAAAAATCAATTTGGTCGGTCTAAAAAAAAGGTCGTCAAAATTTTCGATTTCTTTTTGAAAAACCGCCCCCCCCTCGAGAAAATCCTAGATCCGCCATTGCTTATAAGTATATAAAAAACCGCATGTGGGGATAGGAAACGGTAGATGAGCCATTCAACTGATAGCCACGAAATTGAAACAAAATTCCTAGAATATTAGATTTTGGAAGAAACAGTCAAACAAACAAAGGCAAGCAGCAAAATCCCCTCCTCCATGAATCCAAATTGATGACCACCTCGACCCGAATTATCGCCATCAGGTCTTCGCTTAGTTGAGCTCAAGTAATGTGATGTTTCTCACCTTCCGAAAGTTAGACTTTCGCCCACAGACCTTTCATGAGATAGTCCGGAGGAACCTGTGCCAGTGAAATAATTTTCCAGATTCTCCTGGTTTTCCCTTTTGGAAAAATACCTCAGAATTATTGTGAGATTAAAAAGACAGAAGGTTGTCAACACCAACAGCATTTGGTAAGTCAACCTGCTGATAGAGGCCATTGCGTGGGGTGAGACGAAACAATTGAAGCAGAATGAATGCGTAATAAAATGTAAGCTTGAGACCGGCAAAAAATTGGGAGTTTCTGTCCTCCGCCACTGTTTCAAGCGATGAGATGGCTAAGTTCAAAAAGTTGGTATGCAAATATGATTTTATGGAAATGTCTAGTTCATAGCGGTGATCTTTGGATAGCGTTCTTTTCTAATAATTATATTTAAATACTTTGCTTCATCGAGATGTTTTTTAACCTCAAGATGGCCGAACGAGTTATTATTTCAAATAATAGAAAAACAACGCAATCAAGTGAAAAACAACTCAAAAAAGGAATTATTAGAATAATTATAAGATTGTCGTCGAATATCAAGTTCACAGACCATAGTTGCATTTCATTAACATTTTTGCGCCAGCTGGGAAAGATTGTATTGGCGGAAACGACTGCATCAAAGTTCAAAGAAATTTGAATTCATCTCAAAAGTTGTTGAGGTTCTAAAGGAGCAAATTGAGCGTAAATTTGAATGGCATACAAAATCCTCGCAAAAATCGATTGATATTAGGTTTAAAAACATTTTCTGTGGCGTTGCTCTGTTTTGGATTGAAGGTATTTAATAACACCGGAAAAGCAGTTAGACAATATGTTTAAATTAAGTTCTAAAAACAGTTAACACAATATTACGAATATGTTTAAATTAAATTTTTGACGGTTATTTTCGTTCAGAAATGGCTGAAAGTGAATCAATAATATAATAAACCATCATTCAAAGCTGGCGTGGTGGTATGTATACGCGTGTCGATGAGACCGAGGTTTAATTTATGTTAAAAGTGGCACAAAATAAATCTGAACTCCACGTGCTTGGATAACCTTTCAAGCGAGAAAACATTTTCATACAAACGAAAAACTGAGCTTAATCAACTAGATATGAGCATCATATATTTATTTTACATTTTGTCAAGCCATTAAAATACATGCTTTTTCTGGCTTTTTCGTTTGCGATTTGTAGTTTTTGTGTTTTTGTCGTCAACAAGGCCATGAGAGCCTTAATTTCATCAGGTTAAGAAACGGTAAATGTGATTTACCGGATCAATAAGCGAGGTATGTTTGAAGTACCAGTACCACATTAATAGTATCCGTTTGTTAAGTCGCGTAAACTCACGACGAAACACCCACTTGCGTAAAATCACGCTTCTTCGGTGCCTTGGAGATTGACTATTTTGTTTAACCACAGTTTTGAACCATTTTTGGTCGTTTTTTTTTGCAAATTCATGAAACCCAATTTAAGCCACGTGCTTCAAAATTATCCCATTCTTCAGCCTGATCTTTGCGCTGGCTATTGGACTGCGTTATTTGACTCGGCTCTTTTTCCTTTCCCCCCCCCCACCTGCAAATTTTTATATTTGAAATTACTGTCCACTTTGTCCGATTGTCATGAAAATTGCCATGCAGACTAATTAGGCCATGACAAACATATTTGGTCTTCATAATTAACCTTGTAAAACAACTCGTTAGACCATAAAAATCATGTTTGAGTGAGGTGGGGGGGGGGGTAGGAAAAAGAGCCTATGACTCAACGCAACCCGAGGACCCACCAAATTTGGTCGCCTTGCTTTTATTTCAAAATTGAATTCAGCGATCCACAGTTTTCTATTCTTGAAAAGAAGAAACAAAAACTGACCAACGGTCGACTCCGATCAAAACAAATGATTGAGGCAATCTCCGCTTATGGTCCGCGACTTATGCTGCGACCGAATTAGGTCGCGAAAATTGACTTGCCGCGACCAAAAATCCATACTCGCACCCGAGTTTTGAGTCGCGCAAAGTCGTAACATGGGTCGCGCAAAAACGCAACATGAGTCACTCGCAAAGTCCCAAAATGGGTGTCGATCATTGAAAATGTGGAGGAATTTTGTATTCGAGTTTTATTTTTTTTCCTCAGAGTGATCTGTCATACTAATCTATCAAATTAAAGCCCTTTAAACCGTGATTTGAACGACAAAAAAAAACAATTTTGAAAAAATTGTCCGAGTCTTGAGAAAAACTGGTTCAAATTTTTTGAGATTTAGTCTAATTTTGAGCGACTAATGCGACCGAGTAACACGATCGAGTAACGCTCGTTATTTCAAATGTTTTTTTTTTAAATTCTCGGACAAAAAAATCGATCGAACGAAAACTAGTTTGGGACGTTTCATTTAGCGCTTGTTTGGCAAAAAAGTTTTTGCTTAAAAATCAAAAATTATTGAGCAAAAAGCAAGAAAAAATTTCAATTTTTAGATTTTTTTTGATGTTGTCCATCATTTTTATTTTACTATATATTGGATTTGGATGCGATCTATTAGTTCTCGAATCACACCACCTCGGCACTAATTTGAAGAAAAGTAGAAAAAAACGTATTCCACTTTTTGTACAAATATGGTCGGAACATTGCGTGCTACTTGCACAGCAACCAGGTATCCTTGAGTCGCGAAGAAACAAACCTTCTGGTTGCTAAAAGTCGCAATATATTTTTTCTTGTTCACGCAGAATTTTTTGAAGGAGCAAACTTGCAAATTATCTTTTTTGAGTCGCTTAAAGTCGCAACATATTTGTTTGAGTCGTGCAAAACACTTCAGTCTTTCAATCTAAGTCGTGCAATGTTGCGACATATCTTTATTTGGTCGCGCAAAGTCGCGCAGAACACTTTGATCGCGCAAAGTCGCAATATAATTTTTCTTGCTGCGCAAAATTGGTCGCTCAAAGTTGCGCAAAACACTTCAGTGATGATCAAACAGGTCTTGGCCGAATTCGAAACCAGTACATTCTTCTCAGGCAAATACTCATATACTTAACCGAAGTGCCCGGAGAAATTATAGAACTTGATTTAATCAAGGATTTAGGCCAACATTTTTAAAGCAAAATACTCAAATAGTGGAAAAATCAATTGGAAAACTTGCGTCGCTGAAAATTAGTCGATTGAATATCTAAACAAAAGCCCTGTAACGTTTCCATATAAGTTACAGCATGAAAAATAAGCTGACCATGCTCAGTTCATCAACCAGGAAACCAAAAACTATCATAATTGAGTCTTTATTCTATTATTGAACACAAAAAGTTTAGAATCCAAGATGTAGCATTTATAAGTATAGTTACTTTTTCCAGAAGCCAGTAATCAAAATTGTTGTTTGAAGAAATTGAGTAAACCAGCAGCCCAAATGTGGCCGACGCAGTTGATGTAAGGATTTTGATTTTCAAACAAAAAAAAATATGTTCGAATTTGATAACACTTGCTAATAGCGAGCTTTACACAGAGGCGAAGGGGAGCTTTGCACTACTTGCGATATAACACAGACGATATTACGATAAAAAATAAGAAGTCGAAAAAGAGGCAAAATGTTATAAGAACCAGTTGAACCAAAGTTTTTATATGTCTCAATAAAATATAACTAGAGGCCCAACTGGAGGTGTAGGCACGTGTTTGATAGTTATTGAGTTTTTTATACTGGGATGATATGCATATTTTCAGGAAATCAAAATTTCCTAAATTCTGAATTGTTTCTCTAGTAAATTAAAGCAGAAGAGTCAACATTTTGAGATATTTCCCAAGGGTATATCGTTTTTCATACACAAACTAAGGAGAATTTTTTGCAAGCGGTTGGTTTGATTGACTTTTTCATCTCAGGCTTGATACAAGGCAGGCCAGGGCGGAATTTCGCATCACTTGCGGTACAACGAAAGCGTAGTATTGCGTGCTTCCAAATAGTGAGCGAGATGAAAAAAACCAAGTTGAAAAAAAATTCAAAAAAGTTAGCAATTCCTTTTGAATATACGAAAAATACAACCTCAAAAAACAGACGAGAAAAAAAACACTAACTTTCAGCGAGATATTCCGAACGCTCACTAAACCAACATTAAATGGCTAGATAGCAATTGATCCGAAATCAAAAATTGGCAAAGGAAATTATTGTTGTCAAAAAACCCTTGAAAAAAAACGAAGTTTTTTTTGAAACTACAAAATTTTCAACCTCAGACTCTTAGTATGTTCCGAGAGTTAACTAAGCCAACAAAAGGTGATAAGACATCAATTGATGTGAAACCAAAAAATTCCAAGGGAAGTTGTTGTCGTACAAAACTTGAGAAAAATTCAATCTCGGAAAAACAGACCAGAAACACAGCCACTAGAAAAAAAAAAAAACTTTAGTTTTTTTCCAGATCATTCACTAAGCCGACAGCACGTCGTTAGACGCCAACTACTTCTTTAACTGAAGATATCGAAAAAAATTTGTCATAATTTTAAAAAAACTTTGAACGAGTAAAGAAGTTGAACTTTCAAATTTTGCTAACAATGAACTTGATTGATTAAAAATAAGAAATATCCTTTTTTTCTCCTTATACCGATGCAAAATAAATGTATTTAAAATACAAAGCAAGAGCCGAAACCAATCAGGCCGAATAAAATTTCTAAGCGAAAAAGAATTTAAGAAAAAAGAAAATATACCAGCCAGGTATCAAATTAAAAAAAAAAATACATGATTTAATCAACGACACTTAAATATTCGAGGAACATTGGTTAGAGCAAAAACAAATTGTGCAATGGCAACTATGCCGACAAAATATAATTCGAAGCACTATAGTCTGACTAATCATTTTTCCGGGAAAAAAATTTCAATGAGACACTGAAAAAAAAACAAGGTCCGACAGGTAATCGAACCTCTGACAATAGATTGTAAAAGCAACCGCATTACCTCCAGACTAAGTGCGCTGGTTCTTAGAAGTTGCTTATGTTCAATAAAAGAGCAACATCAGTTTCAATTACAGGTGTGTAAGAAAACGTGTTTACGTGAAAAGTCTTGTTACCGATTACAAGACACTTACTCTCGCAAGTGTAAAACTTCGCAAGGTCAAAGCGCAAAATCTTGACTGCAAGAAGTAAGTCGCAATCGCTCAAACTGATAAATTTCCCAAAACTCGTCTTATCGATTGAACACTTAATATGAGAATTGGCTCGGTAGTTTTCAAGAAAAGTCAAAAAGTTACCAAGAAACGGTCAAAAAATCAAAGTTTTGATCTTTCCGAGAAACAGAGCATTTTGTGCAGATAAACTCGGCGTGGCCACTTGTGCAAAGAACTTTTCTAAAACTCGTTCTATCCATTGAAAGAAAAAGCTCGAATTTGGGAGCAGGGAGGAGTTAGGGAGGAACAGACGCCCCCACCCTCAGATATTCGACCCCCTCACCAAGGAAAGAGCTCCCCTTTCGCATTGTTTTATGACATCCATTTTCTATCGACTGAGCCTGAAATGAATGTAAAAAAAACTACAGTACCAAAGTATACTAATTTTGAAGGGGAGAAGGCGCCGCAAAACGCAATTTTTTGGTCAAAGTTTTCCAAAACGTGCCCATAAACGGCGCTTTTGACCTGTTTTTTTTTCCAAAAGTTTGGCGCAAAAAGGGCCTTTATAGTGCTCTGGGAACAAACAAAATCAATTTGGTCAAGTTTTATAAAAAAAACTTGAAAAATTTTCCCAGTTTTTAAAAATAATACGCAGAATTTAAACCGCGGTATTAAAAAAAATTGACATTTCCGTGAGCCAAAGCTTTTTGTGTAGAGAATGTAGGCGTCACCGCTTATACAGAAGAGATTCACGCAAGTTGTTTTTTCGATTAAACCCAAGAACTCTGATTTTGAAGGGTAGTTTTTGAGAAAAAAAAACACTTAGTTTCAAAAACGTTAGCAGAAATAAAAGTTACTTTTTCGAGTGCAATTTTTTTGTGTAAAAATAAGGAGGTACTCGATTACAAAGGGAAGTTTTACAAAATCGCTTTTTATTTGAGTCGAA